ACACCACCATTGTGGCATTTTTGTGTAGTTCTAAGCCGTGAAGCAACAGCTTGACCGAACTCGTGGGTGACACTGAGTTGGGCCGCCTGAAGAGGGAAGCTGGCGTTTTCGGATGTTGTTTTAACAACTTTCACACTACCAAATACTATGTTGGTTCAAATTTGTGCATTTCAAAAATAGTAAGAAATAATTTTTGTCATTTCATGACCACAGGGTCATGACAACGTAATTTTAATCCATAGATCGATAAACGTAATCCATTTAATCCATAGACGCAATTTAAACCCACAGATGATGCTTACACCACTGGCTCAATTTTTTGTTTGTGGTCGAGGTCCCATTAGAAAAATAGGCACCAAAAATGTCTCGGACAAAAATACAAATTTCAGGGCTGAAAGAGTTGAAGTACCTTCCTTGGATTCATTATCTGCAGGTTCTCAATAAAGCTGTTCATTACAAATCACTTGAACTTACACAACCTTAGTTCAGTTGATTCTGCCATTTTTACCGCTAAAAATCAATTACGAGAACAATTATTATAAAGAACGAACCAAAGTGAATTCTAGAACGGCTTGATGCACGGCTTAAATAACAAAAAGAATTACGCCTTAGCATTAAAAAAGAACACCGTCAACACTGTGTTGGTTAGATTCAATACAGCAAGTGAACATTTAAAAGACGGACACACTGACGCAAACACCGACAAACTGTCAGCAAATGAACTTTTTTTTTTTTCTCGTCTGAACGAATACCGTTCATGTTTTTTTTTTTTCGAGGTACTCCAGCGTCTCTCATAATCATATAGTGGTTTTGGGACGTTAAACCCCACATATCAATCAATCGAGGTACTCCAGGGGCATGTATATAGCTCACTCCTTTTCATCGTTGTCATAGATATTATTGTAGATGTAGTTAAGTACTACAGAATTTTCACCGTTGTTTCTTTCCTGAGCGATAGTGTTCTCAAATCAAAGTAGTTCCACTAACAGCCTTCAGGACACCCTTAGTGGCAAAAAGACTAACAAGTAAGCTTCATGCAAGTTTCACAAAAAGTGTCTATAATAAAGTCTAAAAGAAACAGTGTACCAAAAAAGAGTGTACTTACAAGTTTTTGGCCGTTGCTTGACGAGACATTGGTCACACAGACAAATGCTGCCCTTATTATATAGAGCGAGAAAAGGTTGCGTTCCTTTACGGCGCAACTTCAAGCACGTGACTACAGCGACAATAAGGATGCCACATATCTAGCATCTGTGTGGCCCATAAAATGAAGTTAGAAAAAATGCTGGAAGTTATGCCTCCAAAGTGAAGCCAAACCTCTGCTATTTTACGAAGGGAACGAAGAAAAAAAAATGGTAGCAAAGGAGTGTTGAAAAAGCTTGTTTTGTGTTTAGATCATGTCATCAGGGGCGTAGCCAGGACCTGTGCCTCCTCTTGCCCCAAAATCACTTTTCACCAAGGCATACAGCACACTAAATACCAAAATACCCATTTGCCTGCCCAACCCCCGCTTCAGGTCAAGAAAGTGCCCGCCTCCCCTTTTCGAAAACAGTGTCTGTCTACGCCCCTTTGTGTGACCAGTGCTCGTCTATGTACATAATTTTCACAAAAAACAACAATGTCCTATTTCATAATTGGGGAAGTATTTATATTAAGAAAGCAAAATCACTATCACAAAGTGGGTATCTGCCAACAAGGCACGAGTCAGTGCCGGCTTCATCATTGCAAAGCCCCCTTGAGCCCACACTGAAATATGTCAGCCGTGCAAAAATCGACAACTTCGCGTGTTCGACATTTCAATGAAACATTAGTTCCAAAGACGTCTCGCACTACCAGAGCGCTCGTACTTAAGTTTTTCCACGAGTTCAATTAAAGAACGCTGCAAGGTACAACTAGCTGGTATGGCTGGTCGCAGGACTGCCAAACCAATTTGTGTTCCTTTGGGCTCTCAGCACGATTGCAAACCACGCTGCAGAAAATGATCACATAAATAGCACATGCCCGAGCGTGTACGTTTCAAGGGACATGTATAAGCTTCACGATAACAATAGCGGTTAACTTTAGTAGGACTTGTGTGTAACCAAGCACATGCAATTAACACTTTACGGCAGTTTTGCCATAGTTTTTCACTCGATTACCATGCAGTGGCTCTTGCTGTCTCGCTGAATGCAAAATGACGTAACCCAGCTCAGAATACTTGAGAAAATGTAACGGGAAACTTTGAAAGTAGTTGTCAGTGAAGATAACAAAGCGTGAAGGGTTGCCGAGAGAACAGTTCGGGTTTGGCATACCTAACAACGGTATGATTTTGAGGACCGCCGTATAGTGCCAAGCCCTGCAAATTTCAACGACCTGGGGTTCTTTAACATGCACATAAATACAAGTACACGTCCCTCAAGCATTTTCGTCTCTATTAAAATGCTGTCGCCACGGCCGTATAATTCAATCCCGTGACCTTAGAGTCAGAAGTTGAGCCCCATAACCACTAGCCCAACGTGGCGAGCCTGATTGGTTGCAGTGAGATAGCCAGGCCAGCTAGTCTTACTGGCCGCATCTTGTACAATGTTAACAGTTGAAATGAAAGCCTCATAGAAGCAAACTATTAGTATAACGTAGAGATGAGCTAGTTGGTACGTATTCATACTAAAAATATAGAGCATGCAAACACGGACACAATAAGAAAGTCGGGACATCACAAACTCCTACTGACCATCAAAGATCAGATAAAAATTGAGGAGCTCACTCGTACTCACACTCGCAAAAGTTTTCTTCCACCGGACTCTCTCAGACTCAAACTAGCCAAAACATTACTCACCCGGACTCACGACTGGATCTGAGTCTGAGCGAGACCAAATGAGTCTACTCATAAGTCCGTTAACTTCGAATTAGTTTTTTCAACCATGTTATAAATGTTCTTTGACACCAATGTCTCAAGTAACCATAGTACCCTCGAATACGTATTATGAGTGGTTTCAAACTAATAAGGACACCTTTCTTGTAAGAGATGACAACATTAAGATATACTTGTCAAGAACTTCCCTGGAAGAGTCCCCGGGGGAAAGCCATGATACTACCTATGCAACTTACACCTCTGATTAATGAATACTAAAAGGTTGGATCAAAAGACTTTTTGCAATACGTGTGAGGAGACCCGACTACAACCGTGAATCCAGGTGAGGCAATGGTAATGCTGAAGATGCATAGATAGCACCATAGATCGGCAAAAAAGTGGGACTCGCTTATCAAATATATCTTGCGCTAACCCAGACTCGGATTGACGAAAATTTTCCAGAGTCAGACTCACACTCACAAAAATTTCCTTCATCCGGACTCGCCAAAATATAACTCGCCCGGACTCGCTCATACAGAGTGATACTCACAGCTCGACTTGAGTCTGAGTGAATCGACTCTTGAGCGAGTTCGCCAACTTATGCTAACAACCGAAGATGCGCACAATGGCGAAAAAGAAAGAAGGCACGAAAACTTATCTGCACATGCCCATGCAATATGCGAACCTATCAATCTGGCACACGTTAAAGTCTACGTGAAAACCATTAAGGGCTTTGATTTTATCTTTATGCAAGTTAATCGACGGTTGGCTCACGCATGCGCTACCCCTATTATCTATATACCATACAGCAATAATCAGACGCGTTTCTTCATTCCTATGCCGGTACAAAACTGCACATTCATTGAATACTGTCATGCCCTTACATTCTCGACAATGTAAAGAAAAATCAGGTGGTGACCCCAATCATATCTGGTTAAAGGAAACGTCCAGCCAACTGCCAGCAAATGTGGTCTTCAGAAATGTCTACAAATAGTATTTTACTATTCTGGGGCAATTTTTTTTTTAGTAATACTTAGCCCTTCTTCACTTAATTCAAAGTTCTTGCTCCCTTAGGTTACCACAGTTCAAAGTCCTCTCCATTACAGAAAATCAACTAATCACATAACCGTCTACATAACAAAGTACCTTAATAGAATTCCCTAAATTGCCTTCCAAATGTTTCTCAAATTCACTAAAGTAAGAATCACTATGAACAAGAACAACCTTAGAACATTAGGCGGAAATGTTGTAGGCCCGTGTGCTCAGATTTGGGTGCACATTAAAGAACCCAAGGTGGTCGAAATTTCCGGAGCCCTCCACTACGGCGTCTCTCATAATCATATGGTGGTTTTGGGACGTAAAACCCCATATATCAATCAATTAACCTTAGAACATTCTTCTGTCCATGATCGCACACACTATTTTAGAATAATCTATTATCTTTCAGTGTTCCTGCAATTACTACATCTTAGGACTGTAACTGCAAGCATTTTCTTCGAGTGCGTGATTGCAATCAGTTACTCCTTGTTTTTCTTTAAAATGTAAAGTCTGAATTTTCGATTCCGACCACGCCTCTTTCACACTCACTTCAGTTACAGAGGCAAAAATTTTCCAAGGTCAACGAACGTACTTGGCATGCTGAAAAACATTGAACAAAAGCACTTGTACATTTGTGGCCAGAACTATTCACACGAACAAGAGGAGCCGTATAAGAAATAGAACTGATCACAGAACGGAGCAAGTTTGGCGCCTGAATTCTCCAGTCCAAGAAATCTGATAAAAAATTACTCGTGCAGTTTGGTATTAGGATTTCTACCTAGCGAACACGGTGGTGTCCACTTTTATTAGGTGCGCTCCCAAACTGCTGAAACTTGGAACACTCGTGGTTCATTGACTTTTCACATCGACCACAAAAAGACTCTTACACCTAAACAATTGTTGCTAATTGCTGCTCTCGAAGAAGGTTTAACCACAGGAATTGTGAGGGCAATTGTACTATCAGCGTCAAATGAAACGCAGGGCCTTTATCTTGCGACTCTTGCATCACTAGAGAGTTTTAGAAAAGCGCATGCGTCGTACGCTTACCTCTTGCGGGTTCCCGGTGAGTGACCGCTATGCCCGCAATCTTTGCGTACGGCATTCAAAAGCTCTCTACGGTCAACAAAGGAAATTTGAGTAATGCAAAATGTTTACTTCCGTAGGCATGATATAATATGTAAGGCAATTATGAATGTGAGAAAAGGAAGTTAAGTGCTATGTGGTAGCGAGCACTATTTTTTATGCTTCTTTTTTGATTTGCGATGATGCTTTCGCTTTTTTTTGGAATGGTGTTTTGAGTGGCTGTGCTTGTGGCGCCGCTTTCTTGATTTTTTCTCAGAGCTATCGCTGGTTGAAGAGCTCGAGCTGCTGTCTGAATCTGATGATTCTTCAAGAAGTGCCTGTAGCTGGCGAATTCTATTGTGGAATAAAAAGAAAAAGAAAAATTACACTCAGAACACACATGAAAAACTGACAGTCTTCTTGATATCGCTAAACTGCAACACATAAATTACACTTGTCCTTGAAGTGACTGGTAGCGCAAGCTAAAAGTAAAAAAAAAAATAGAAGGCTAGATCAAAGTTTGACAGAAACAATACTGTGCACAACTTCCACTAACCACAATTCAGCCACTGCTTTCCCACACATTTCAACAGCTTCCACACTGCCAAATACTATGTTGGTTCAAATTTGTGTATTCCAAAAAGTAGCAGGAATAAATTAATAATTTTTGTTACTTCATGAACACAGGGTCATGACAATGTAATTTTGTCATGACCACAGAGTCATGACAACGGACATAAAGTATGAACCTTATGTCCTACAAATATTTGACGCTGACGAAAATCCGCAGACGAGCATTCTGCCGATTAAAGAATGCATCGTAACGTTTAATCCTCATCAACGGGAGAACTTACCGTTCCTGCGTTTCTGCAGCTTTGCTTTTTTTCACGAACTGGTGCATCGGATCTTCGTGCACCTAGGAATGAAGCAGCGCTCTGACGCACTCCAAAAGCGTTTCAGAATATATGCAACTGCCACAGCGTACAATCGACTTACAGTTCTAAACTTCTCACTTTCCGAGTTCCCAGTGAGGAACAATGGACACTCCCTGTCTCCTGTCCTATGTCCGTAGGCTTTGCACCTCCAACCTGTTGGGAAAGAGTGACTGATGTTGAACGACTGACCTGGCGCTGCTGCGGAATACTACGCACATTTCATTACTTTAACTTGCTTTCCCAGGGGCATCCATAGACCCTTGGTGGGCGCCTTTGACAGGAACTCTCGTGCTCGCCGATTCTCTGGCAAGTCCGGAATGCAGTCTTCAGGATTCTCCTTTGCCTCCTGAATTAGACCCGGTGGGGCCTGGTTGTAGCTGAATAAATAAACAAATAAAAAAAGAATCGCAAAAATACCGTTAGTTGAACTTTAAAGCCTAGAAGAGGACGTGCAACAGCAGCTTGAAAGACAGGCAGTACAAGGTGTCGATGTGTTTTAGAGCCTCTATTTTGTCGCTGACATTCTGCCCCTTGTCTGGCAGCGCCGGCCCCGGCTTAGCTTCATGACTATCAGAGCGACTAGACTTGGTTGACGACATTATTAAAGGCAACACATCACAAACATGTCACTGACACAACAACTAATTGCACAATCATGACCATGCGGCAGCTACAACTATGGCTTGACTCGAACCGAAACATGTTTTGCAAACAAAACTGAATAACATTGTAGCATTTAGTTATAGAAAAATTCTCGTAGTAAGCATCAAAAAACGCGACACAAAAATAAATTGGAGTGAGTGTTAGTTGATAACACGAATACACACACACAAAATCTTATCTCGCATGGCGCTGCCAGCGTCTTAATTTACCGCTGTGGCGCCATATTCAAACAGGCCACTTATAACTGCAGCACTACAACTTACTTGTTGCTTCCTGCAGGAATTGCGTATATTATGCGCAGGTCAGTATATTTAATGTCACTCGTACGTAAGCACAGTTAATGTTTTCACGTACCACACCACAGGGCGCGCACTGTCAGGTGTCTAAACAAATGTGCCAAAAAAATTCAGAAGCGATGTCATGCACTCAAATTACACTGAGAACTTGTTACTTAGAAGCGTAGCGGTTTCGGCTAGTTGGTATGGCATGACGAGTGACTAGCGCTCGTCTTCTTCTTGTCCCTTTGTCGTCGTTCTGATCTCGCGCTATAACAATCACCATGTGGACTTGTTATTGCTTATTCCCACAGCACTGCTTTCTTAATTTACAAATTAGGTTTATTAACCGATACTTGCAGCTTGCCTAATGCGTTGCTCTCATGCCACAAGGGTGCTGTGCGTATTCTCTCACTCTCGGATTAAGCATTTTACAGAGACGGCTGGTAAAAGCTCATTATTACCCTGTTTGCGTACTCCAGCCTCTGCGCTTTCCACGCCGTCTGCTCAGGCGATTTCTAAAGATCACGCGATTGCTACAGGCAAATAAGTTGTATCTAATTAAAACTTTTGCATTCATAGACGTAGAGTGTGTGTGTGTGGGGAGGGGGGGGGGAGGTGTGCTGGGGTGTTTGGGCTCCCTCCGGGCTGCTTAATAAAAAGCAGAGCCCCCCCCCCCCCCCCACCCCTGACGCAAGCCCGGGAGATTTTTGAACTTGCCTTGGGCTCTAATCCGCGCCAACCAGCCAGCTATTTTGCAGAAGATTGTTTATGACCATCATGCTTTTAAATTTTGGGCAGTGACGAGTAGGAAGTCTGGCGCCGTGGTCGCATTGAGAATGTAGTCACAGGATGACGAAAGATGTGCCATTCGCACGGCTTTGAGTACGGTATGTACGCGTAAGCATAAAGAAAATGACAGCTTTTGTACTTAACAGACAATAGTTTGGTATCTTCTTAATACGTTTGATAAGTCTCTCTCTCTCTCTCTCTCTCTCTCTCTCTCTCTCTATATATATATATATATATATATATATATATATATATATATATATTATTTCACCCACTTTTCTTTCTTCACATTTACATTACCATTCGGTCTAATCAATTCCTCAATACTTTCCTTGGCATGATTGTCTGCTATATCTCATTAATATTGAGTCAAACAAGGGAAAACAAGCCCTTAAATATGCACGTCTTCACATATATATATATATATATATATATATATATACAGAGGGAGAGTGTAAAAGAAATGTTGAAGAGCAAGTCGGGCGCAGCGCCCCCTCCAAAGCTATGAAAACTCTCTGCCTTTGTTTGCAGTATCACGCAGTATCACGTAGTCTTTGTAAATAGACTGCTGAGTGTTTCAAATGGTGTGATAAAGTACTAAAGCACTGTATTTAGTTACAAAGTTAAAATAGACTCAGTAGCAAGATCTGTAGTTGAGTTTGAAATGATTAAATTTCCATGGCAGCTGAAGAGACTAAGGAAGGTAAAGATTAGTAGAAACCTAGTAGGTATTGTGTATGGACCTTTTTAACGGATAGATGGATCCCCTCTTTTTTGGGTTGTTGCACGAAAGCACAAAAGGCAATGTCACAACCTGGGCTATGAATTCTTGGGGAGTCACGCATGTTAACAACAGCCCAGGGAGGACTATGGCGGCGCCAAGGGAGCCTTCAGTAAAAAGGTGTATACACTCATAAATAATTTGAAGAGACCGCTAAAGACCTTTTCAGGCCTTGCAGGACATTTCCTTCAAAAACTATAAATGTGTATAGTTGCGATAAGTGCAATATTTATGGAACTTGGAAGTATACTCGCCAAGAAAATTTTTAAAAAGAGCTAATAAGAATGCACATCAAAAACGTGCAGTGCAACTGAAGTTGTTTGTGCCCTCTCAATACACATGCAAGGCGAAAGGCAATGCTCGAGCCATTTATTGATACTTTCTTCTTCTTTGTGTTAAATGCACCTATAGTGATTTTTCAAGGCTGGTATCATTCAAAGATGCCTTAACAAAGATGAAAGGGTGTGCTTATGTGCATAGTTTTGCCCACAAGTAAATGATGGTCAGGAACAATTGCCCATGGCCTGTTGTCTATGAGCTGTTGTGCTAGCTATGATTACGTTAACAGCGTCGAGATGAAAGGATCTCGAAACTTGCAGCCAAAGTGGAACCCGCTGATGGCTGACAAATTGAAAAGCACTTGGAAACGATTGGCTCCATCCAGGACATGCTCTTCAAGGATACTGTAGTGAATTTTCTTTAGTTGGGTATTTTGCATTCATGCTTAGCTGTTTGTTGTTTCATTTCTGGTTTTTGTATGCACCTACGAGTGTCAGCATAATTATGTGCAATTTATTACCAATAAATATTGCTAAGGTTAAAGCTTTGGTGTGTTGGTTCACATACGTATTAAAAAACTCAGCGCAAAAGCGGCAGAAAATAAAGGAAGAGACAGGACAGAGCGCTGTGTCTTGTCTCCTCCTTTCTTTCCTGCCGTTTTCGAGCTGGGTTTTTTAATATTATTCCCAATGCTAATCGGGAAGTTCTTGACCCATTAAGGCCCATGCGAAAACAATTGGTCGGATTTCGTTGAAAGTTTGCATATTTATCAAACTACAGTTGAACCCCTTTATAAGAGACACTGGTGTAACAGACAAACTTGTATAAGAGACACAAGTGTGGCTGCATTGAAATAGGTTTTGATAAGAAATTGCATTCGTGGAACCCTGCTTATAAGAAGCACCTCATATAAAAGACAAGAATTTCTTCTTAGTGCTTGTCTCTTATAAAGTGGCTCAACTGTACAGTAGTAAAGAGCAGCTGAAAATTTTCACAGACCTACATTTACTTCTTCAGAAGTTATGATATTGTGCTTCAGAAAGTACACTAGGCACTTAACGTAGGAATAGGCAAGCTGTCTTTTTACAAAAATAGGAAGCATGCTAGGCCCTTGCCAAACTAATACCAAAATTGTCTTGGCATATAAAACTTGTCAAAGCACCGACGCGTCTTGCAAAGCATAATGCCACACTCTTCGCAGCACCAGTTCTTTCTGTTCAGACGGTACATTTCAACAGTCTTGCAAGCTCGTTGTGCAAATATCCATACAGATAGAGGATAATAGCAGGCACAATGAGCACTGGCGACTACTTGATAGCTCTGTTGGGTGTAACAAGGCAGAGGTAGTTTCTTTAGTTTCTTGCCATTATGTGGCTTAGTGAATGGCAGAAGTCAATGCATAGCGGGTCTGCTAACCTCCCGTAGGTTAGTAGATCCTTCATGAGTTGAGTGTTGCAATGTTGACCATTTCTGTAAATTAGAGCCTCCACCAGTTTTTATAGTGTATGAGAAATCTGTAATTATAGGCAGTTTCATCATGGAGGTGACTCCCTTTCATGCCACTGCAGTAGCTGCTGATGAAGTTTCGTCGTAGTACTACATCTTTATTTTGAGAAGATCACGATCTTTTTCTCCAGAATAGTGACTCGACCATGTGGAAGTTTGTTTCCATAGCAACTATGCTGTTTTCGTGTCTCTTTACGAAAAAATCTTCGTTTTCTGGATCAATACATAAACAGTATTTTTTCGTTCAATCTTCCTTATCTCTAGCAGAGGGCATCCATTAATATATGCTACCATCATTCCTCTCCTTCTTATCTTTCCAAGTTAGGGTCAAAGGCCACAATGACGACACAATAGGGCTCTCATATATCTATATCGCCATCTGTTGGAGCCTTGTGAGCCTCAGACAACCGTCAAAATGGCACTCTTCCGAAGAAAATACGTGGTTCGGTCTCTGAGACAATCTATAAGAAAATGCTCATGTAAGTACTACGAAAAGCACACCAGCATTTCAATACTCTTCGGAGCGAAATTGTGCACTTTGGCTGATTCTTGCTCTTTGCAATGGTTATCTTGTTCATTCTAAAGCACAATCATTTTGTTCCTTTCAATATATAAAGTGTAAAACTTCAAATTTATTTATAAAATGTAGCACACTTATTGTGCATTCAATGTGTGCTTGTTTTGGGGAAGTTTAATGAACTTGTAGCAGGGAAAAAATAAACCTTAGTCAATATGTCAGATTCTAAAGTGTTGCTTAGCAAAATCAGAATATTTGATGGTGTATTTTGCATTTTCACATTGGTGCATTTGCACAGTTGTGTTTTATATGGCGTAAATTCCACTGGGTGTCATAACTTTTATAGGAGTTCAGTGATTCAGGCATTCATAGATGTCGCTATTTCTTATTAGTCTTCCTGAATGTACCAATACAAGTGTTATGCTAAGTTGAGCTAATAGTTCACGTCAGTGTCGAGAAATGAATCTTGACGTCAAGCTTAAAAGATATTTAATTGTTGATAGATGTGAGGAACACGTTGGAACACATTGGTATGATGCAGGAAGCATATTAAAATAAAGTATGGTAGACTCAGTAAGCAGAAATCTGTTAAATGGAACTGTTGCTTAATGGGACAACTGTCTCTGACCCGATTGGTTTCGTACTTGTATTTTGCACCCCTGTTCATCCCTTAGTAAATTAAACTCCTGTTAAATGGAACATATTTTCCTGTTCCCTTCAGGTGCCATTTACTGAGAGTATACTGTATACTTTATAAGATGTAATAGTGGTAAATGTGCCAGTAGTGTGTTCAATAAAAAAAATCAACATGACAGATAAATTTTAAAGCTTATCATCTGTGAAGAGTGCTTGAGCTAACACCGATCTTGTCAGAA